ACACACACACAATACTGTACTGCATGTTATTTCTAACAATAATACAGACACCAATCATGCAAGCACCTCCCTTCTGTTCATTTTATCAAACAAGTAACACATTGGAAAATGTTTGCAATTTTGAAAGATAACTAGATTTTCGCCTACTCATGTGTGTGACAGTCAACAAAAAGCACAAAAACTAACAGATCAAACAAATTCAAATCTCACAAGAAGCTTCACGCATTTGTACTTGACTCCTTTTCGGTTGTAAAGCGGCACGGCCCGAAAGCCTCTCCTGAGCTCCCACACAGGCAGGCACGTCTGGCCCGCAAACTCCCCATTCTCCCGGACTTCGACCCCAAGCAAAGCCAGCTCAGGAACCGTGAGCGGAAATTCGAACGACTCGTCCCAAGTCGGGATCCAGCTGTCGACCATTGCCTTTGTTTTCATCTTCATGGTGTCAGCTGCCACTCCCACAATCCTCATCTGTGATAGCCAACTTTTTGTGTTAAAAAACAACAAAAGTACTAATAAAAATTAGTGATTTTGGTTAGTACATTGGAGTTATTTGTTCAGTGTGATTCTTAAGCTTTAGAGTGGATATTTTGAACAGAATTAGCTTGCTGCGCTTGAGAGGGGTGTATTTGTTAGGTGGACACAAATATTTTCCAGGGTGTGTACTCACAACCAAAAAAAAAAAAAAAGAAGATGAAACAAAAGGAGAAAAAGATGATTGATGGGATAACTTAGAACTGTAGACAGTTTATTGGAGAATGAAACCAGTTAGACATATGGAAGGCAGAACGAAAAACGATTAATCACAATGGCTTACCTTGGCATAAAAATCTGGGGGAGAGTAAGAGTCGAAGTGTGTATGAGAGAAATCGTAATACCATCCTTCACCCATATATATTGTTACCTGTTCGAAATTTCGATTGGAAATGTCAATTATATTAGACACCATTGGTTATAAGCTATTGAAAGATTTTACAATAGCCTCCATGCCGCCAGCTCACCCTCAGAGTGGTTTTGATGGGTAAATCAGCTCTGGGATCAAAGATATCACCATCCGGGGCAACCTTCAACAGAAATTCTGGCTTTTTGACATATCCACAGCCACCATTGGCTCTAAACATTCCATGTACTGACCAAAGTGATTTTCCGTAACCCTGTAAAAAGGTTTTTCCTTTATTCACTTATCGAGACAAAACCCACATGAGCTGTATTAAAAATATTGGAGATGTAGCTCATCGCGGGGTTCTTTTTTTTGTTATTATTATTTTCCTTTTCAATTTACGTAGAACAAAGGAGTATGTTAAGAAAGTTGAACCAACTAATTCAGTCGTCAGTTTAATCAAACTATTCATGGAACCTCATTTAGTTATTCACATATTTAGGACAAAACAGAAGTGGTTCCTGGAGCCATTGTTATGTATTTTCTATGCCAAAGCATCGTAAATACCAATTGGCACGATGTAGCTCACAGATACATGCGGAGTTGAAGTACCACCAAGGCTCAAGTTGCCAGTAGCAACCAAGCAGTCATGAATCTTTACTAACAAGCATAAAAGTACCATCAATTTTGATAAGACAACAACTCAATTAAATATATTTAGCTGACATGTAAGAAACGAACAACCAGAAATGACATTTCATATGATATTATTCCGGAAATGCAGTCTTTAATCGAAGATAATATGTTTTTTTTTTTTTTACTTTTTTTTAGAAACCCGATGATCAACCAATTAATTTCCAAGTTAGCACTAGTTAAATAACTCTTTTACACTACCAAAGATAAAGAGCACTTAGAATGTTGTGATTATAATATGCAAGATGTCTGTAAACACACACAAAGATACGTGCTAATTAGGATATCCTTATAGCTAACCTGCATATTTAAGGCAACCATTTGAGCTCCATGTATCCATGCACTCAGGGGATTATAATTGGAGGAATCCAATCGTATAGCTTTAGGGTATACTCTCAGTAGGTTGTTCTGTGTAAACCTACAAAGTAATTAATGTGAATAACACCGTCAACTGTATCATGGCATTCAAAGATCTCAGCACAGACAATAAAGGGAAATCACGCAGCAAATGTGACTGAACATATCTAAAACTTATACCTAACAATATCTTTTCCAAATTGTGCAATGGCTTTTTCAAATTCTTGCTCACTCAAGCTAAGACGTCTCACTTTAGTAGGATCAACTCTCAGCCATTCTTGCATTCCCCCTTTGCCCTTTCCAGCAGGGATAGCAATTAGATTTCTGTATTGTGAGGCCGCTTGCTGCTGTAATTTTGGATCCTCTTCATCATCTTCATCAGTGTCCACGCCCTCTCCATCCTCGTCAGCATCCTGGAACATGAACTCTGAGCTCTTAAACAAACAATATATAATAACTCTGGACGATTAATAGAGCACGGCACCTTTTTCTTTTGCACCTTACTGCAACCAATTTTGGATTTAAAGTCCACAACTTGTCTCCTCCGAGCTTCATCCTCAGCCGAATCTTGTCCCTTGTCTGAGCTGCTTTCATTTACTTCGAATTTTTTTACCCCTAAGTATTCCTTGGGTGGTTTAGTTGATATTAAGATTCGTCTCTTAAGTGATTCTGGGGAAGGAAATTCACTCAGGGGCTCTGAACCCGGGATAAAAAGCATTGCACCAAACGTTTGAGTGATCATCTAGAATTAAGATAGCATGTGAGTTTTGTGACGTTGTGAAAATTTTGAAAATGTTGGCATCGACTCTTTGTGCGTACCTCAGTCACTAGAGCCTGAAGATCGGCAGTAAGATGATCTTCAAGTGTTAATACAACAGGATATTCAGACACAGAAAAGGCATGCTCCTTAATTGACCTCAAACAGGTGATTAGTTCTACGGGAGTAGTCAAGGTCCTGCAAAAAAAGCAATCTTCAACATTTCAAAAGGAAGAAAAGCTCAAATTTAAAGTTGTAGACATCAGAAAAGTAAAAAACTTCGACACTATCCTAATAATACTCATGATTGATCTGCCATATAGTCAATATCTGGTGGCTTGCGAACTTAATCAGATATTTATTATTTATTCATTATTAGATTTCAATACGATAACCAGGATCATTGACAACAAGATGCTGCTTACCTCCCGTGTAGAACATCCACATTATCTTTAGTGGAATTCGGCCATAAATCCAACTCAATTCCTCTTACACCTCCCTGGAGTGCACGTATTATAGGTATATCACTGCTGTCGCTACTTACTTGGTTCCCAGTTAAATAGGTATTGTGGCTAGTGTATATGAAGTACTGAGACAGTGGAGCAGTCATATCTTGGTGAATCTGAAATGAAACAATGTACTAACATGTTCTCTTGTTCTTTTGTAGAAGTTAAAACCCTTAATGTATTTACTAGAAAAGAGATAAGGCAAAATTAGTAAAATTCAAAAGAATGCTCTGTGAATTAATCCTTTCAAATTTACAAAGAAAGGCAATATGGAAAGGACAACAATTTAATGGAGAAAACTACCGGGTGCAAAACAAAATATCCACAACATTTAAAAAACTTGTAAGTTTACAAGACATGCGTAACAATAACCGATCAGATGAATGGTCAAAACAACTCTGGAGGAAAGTTGTGATTACTTGGTGAAGTACAATGGCCATCACTCATCAGGAACATGTCATGCAGCAATATCTAAGTAAAGAGATGCATTGCAGTGATCCAAGTTCATACTAATCAAGATATTACCAATCACATTAGTACACTTTCAACAGACTCCACAAGTTCATCCAAGTCAAAGTTTCATACTTCTCAACAAATCATCTAAACAAAAATTCTAGTAACTATCCAATGGGTTCGAAAATAATTTTAAGCTCAATTAAACAGTACTGCACCAAAATTTGAGAACTATCCAACGGACTCGAGAATATTAACTTAATCCACTGCTAATCTCGGTCACATCAATCCAAGTCAAAATGTCGCAATTATGCTACTTTCGGAAGAAGGCAAAAGCAAAACTGAAACTGGTGCTCTCAATAACAATAGTAATGACAATTACCCCAATTTTCGGATCCAGCGGCGGATTATCATCCCCGAACAAGTACTTGAAGAACGCCTCCAGATTCAGCCCCCGCCGATGAAACACGTGCGCGTGCTTGAGCCCGTCGATGACGCCCTCCGCCGTCGCGTTCGCCTCACCCTGCACCTCCGCCAGGAACCGCCGCAGGCCGTCGGCTCCCATCACCCCGTTCTCCGAGTACTCCCCGAAGATCCCCCTGATGTCGGCCGGCGCCTCCGCCGCGGCGAGGCGGAACCTCCGTCGGAAGCAAAAGCACACTCGGTAGGTCTGCTTGGACATGGAGGTGACTGCCAGCGCCGATCATGGTGCCCTCACCTATATAACCGTCGCGAAATTCTCAATCCGAATAAAAAATTAACGAATCGAACAGCGTAAAACGTGATTGGAATCCCCTATTCTTTAATAGGGAATAATTTAATCGAAGTTCGAAGCTTAAAGGTGAAGGAATCGAGGGATTTCGGCCATGGCTTTTTAGCTTTCCCTGACGTGGAAAGCCGGTCGTGTTTTTCTGCGGGGTTTCACTTTCATGGATATATATATATGTGCCTTTTTCCCGCGCGAATAAATGGTGGTTGAATTATTGGGCCTAAAATATATAGGGTGACTCATTACACATGACACATGCTCCAAGTTTTTTTTATATATATATAAAATAAAATATTGTTAGAAAATATTCATATACATAGGGTATTTTAAATATTAAATTGAAAAGTATCATAGTATACTATACTATAGTTTAAGAAATGACATAATTAAAATAAAGTTTTGTAGTATGAATTTATTACTATGTCTCACATCTGAATTTTGCTTTTTTTTTTTCATTTTAATGTTCATGAAACTATCAGTAATTTTCTATATCATATTCATGTAGCTTATGTTTTTATTTAGTGTTATTT